TTTTTTCATGTTTAAAATTTTCACATTTCTTTCTGCCCGAGCTGTAGCGCGATTGTCAAGATGTCAAGGAAATTTATCCAAATACTCATAATATAAAACACATGTTTTGGTTGCTAACTGGTATATTTAACTAGGTCGCCAGTGCCCATCTGAATAAACAATGGGTTTGCGATGTTTTTTCAGTTGTCATTTTCCCTACTTTTAAAACTCGGTGTGTCCTCGCATGCATACATCCAGGCTCTAGTCTTTCCCCTCTATTCTTTGAAGAGTTGCTCAAGAATATTGTGCTCATGCGTGCTTTTATCCTCAATCTTTGGAATATGAAACTTTTAAGTGTGCAGTTTGAGTAAATGTCCCCTTATATTAATTAGAACCTGTTATTAGAGCTCATTTTAGATATATGTTTCAAATGCCCTCAAACCCAAAAGGCACAGGCGACAATTAGATCTACCAAAACGCTCGACACACATCAACATTTGATATGACTACCTTATTAGCTTCGCCGCTCAAAATGCAAGCCTGTAGCGCTCTGGGGCCCTACCACCCCCCTGAGCTCTTGTTGCTGATTAAAGACTCGGTCAATTGGTGACTGGACCAGGTTGTGTGTAATGAGCCTCAAGTTTGGAGCTTGAAGGTGTCGTCCACCTGTGCCATCCCCGCCTCCGATCATCTTGACTCTGTCTTGACAACGGGTCTAACTGGGGCCTGGGAAGAGAGAGCGTGGTCAATGCTATGCAGGTCTCTTATCACTATTAATAAATTCATGCGCAAGTCACCGGGTCTGCTGCCCCATGCTTTGTAGCACACGGTGGATATCGTCGAAATCGATGGCTGAACCGTCGTGTTTACATTGTCGGCAGGAAGTCAACCGGTTTAAACACAATCATGGGCTTCAAGAAATGTCACTGCCAAATCGGTAATTTGGCAATTTAAAGTTAACTACAGGCAACAAAAGAACAGTAGTATCAATTTAATGCCCAATGACGGTCGTTCGCGGTAAGACGAGCTCAAGATGTGTGATTTGGTTCCGAACAATCATACACCGCGAGCGAATCTGTAAGATTTGCGGTTTTGGAGGGATTTCTGTTCCCGCGAGTGTTTCACCTATCTTAGCTAGCGGTTTACGATGCATTAATGTATTCGCATAACGATACGCCCGTTAACTACACGATTATATCGCTACATATGATAATGAGCCGCCCGTTCCCTTTCAAACCTAAGCATCCTCATAAATCACATGACAGAAAGTGTCTTACCACAAAATAGACGTAATGTCATTAAGTTGAGTATTTTGATTGCATTTACCTAGAATATGGTCCCACATTGAATTCATAGGCGATTAGCGACAATTTTTTAAAATGTCTTCACATCTCTGAGTCGCCCAGTTAGGAAATAACTAACGGCAATGGTCGGTGTATATAAAATCTGACTAAACAACCCTCTAACTCTGTCACTTTTTCGATCAACAAGTCAGAAGTCCATTCTATAATTTACAGGTCTTTGGCACGTTGCGCACACCCAGCATATGTTTTTAACCACGACTTGAGTCTGAAATGTCACAATTCTCAACTCTGATTTGATTTAAGACGTTTTAAAAGCGATATTTGTACTAACTAATGGGAAGGATCTTCATTGCAAGAATTTCTGTGTCCCTATAAATGTGTTGTTAATTCAGTATTAGCGGTGTTCGCTGATAAACGGTGAGAGTTCAATCAGGTCGTCACAATCATGGATCGGTTGACATTCATCTGCAAAATAGTTACTGCGGCTACACAAATGTTACTGCTGGAAGGAGAAGAACGTTATTGTCATTTCAAAGCCCACTGTAGAACGGTAATGTTAAAATGTGGTCAAAATATGTATTTGGGTTTTGGACAATCAAACATAGGGGGTTGTGGTTTTGACTCGACGTATGTTCCAATGGGATATTCGCTTCTTTGAGCATATAGGATCAGAATATAGCTGACATCCAGACCGTTCATAAATAGCATATTTTTTCTTAAGATTCTGCACTCAAGTGTTCTGCGGATACTAACTGTTAAGAGACGGCCACAGTACATAACTGATTGTGATCGACAAGTAAAATCCGGCGTTCAGTCGTTTAATTCACCATGGGAAAATTTAGCAGTTATAGTTTTATTTTATTTTTTACCAGATATCGAATATCTGAACAGGATTTAACTAAATCACCTAACTAAATATTGGACGCTTTCTTCTGTATTATTATTATTGAAGAAATGGCTCATCCTTGGCCATCACTAGTTTTAATTCATTGAAAAGTGTTTGTTGATGAAGAAGAACACCAGAAACAACACAGGGATCGGATGAAACTGCAAAAAATGTTATCCTCCAAAGTTTTATAGCTGGTTTTAAAAGCATAATCCAGCATAATAACTTTGTATTCACTCCACAACACTCATGGGTACAGGCCTGGGGTAGCCTGTTATTGAGATTCTGCTGCTTTGTAACCATACATCACATGACTCCTTTAACCTATAGCTATCGCTTGAATCTTGATTCAGAAACAGTACGAGTTTTGGACATTACCGGCATTATTGGGTCGGAATGGAAGAAACTGCGTAAGCGCATTTGCATTTTCATTCTGGCACCAGAAGACAGTACGCCATGTTCACAGCAACAGAAGTGGTCCAGCAACAACCCTCTTGAGAGTCAACTAAGGCATCTGGCCTAGTCTGCTGCAGGCGGACTAGTTACCAGATCATGGCTGGTGCAGGCAGACGAACTGCTCAGATTTTCTTGTAACTCCGCCAATCCCACCTCCAGCCGTCTTGACTTTTCGGAGTGAAGTAAATGCTGCCCATATTTGCGTCCCACTGCACTATTTAATTCATGGTGCCCGCTGCTGGTGTATTTCGTGATACAACAGTGAATGGCGTCTAGCATAAAAACAGGCCAGTCATGTGTCTTGTCTTCCTCCGCCACACGTGAGATGCATGACAATGCTGAACTGCGTACTTGGCAAATGAATGTTTCAGTAATGACTGACAATGTTACCGTGAATATAAAAACTTATACGTATGGCTCTTTTACATTAGCATGATAACCTAAGGAAGAGTGAGGGATTCATATATCGCCGGTAAAGTCTCGCGCCCGAAGAACCGGAAGAATAGAAATTGTTTTGACTAAAAAAGCATGTCGGTTGGTGTTTACCTCCGTGTCATTCCGCTGCTGGGAATTCTTTGGCAAGGGCATCAATAGGGATAGTGCAGCGAATGATTGTATGCACTTGTGCAATGCTTAGTCGTTATTAAGGTGAAGCTTGGACATAAATTTGAATTCCCCTCGTTGTTCACATTAGAAATTAATGCTAGTATCCGGGTTCCGCATTAGTAGATGCTGAACTCAAAAAGTACACTTCGAACTGAAAAACTTTTCAAAAGAAAGACGCTCAAACCTGATAAGGACAGAAAACAATTCTGATGACATTGTAAGTCTAATGTAATCTCTTAATTAGCGTCCTGGCACCCTTGGCTTACTGACGTACGGCAACGCCTCTTTTGGTCGCCATCCCCGTTAAACGCCGTCATTGTCGAGGTATTCGAATTCGAAGTGAGAAAGATAAAGCAATTAACAGTCTGGGTGGACGTATCAGTCTCATAAATCTCTTCGGATTTGCTGAAAATTTTACAAATTTCACGTTCGTATGCATTCATTAATTTAAAATGTCTTAATTTGCGAACTTACCAAAGCAACGCCCGATCGACCCGGATATCGTCAACTGGTCCCACAAACAGCAATTTCTAAAGATAATCAGAATATTGTAAATCTTTCACAAAAACGGCAAAAATATTACTTGAACTAAAGCCCAAATGGTATGTTTTGGTAAATCTAACCCAATAGCAGAACAAGCGTGCCCGGAGAGAAGCTCGCGGTCTCTTTAGCAGTCCAGCGTGGCGCGGTCAAGTTCTTTAAACTATTGCCCCACAAAGCAATGTTATTCGTGCTACGAATTCGCAAGTTGTAATTTATTGCGAATAAACATTCCTACATTAATAATCGGAAGCAGGCTGGAAATCTGGCAGAATGTGTTTAAGTCGGGTTTTCAGAGGCCAGTTTTGGGGACTAATTCAAAAGTTACATCATGCTTAGAAACTTCAAATAATGCACTTGAGATGATTTATGCAAATAAGCAAAGCCGTCCAGTTAGGGGACTGGTCTGATATTTGTGGGTGTATAAATAAGCTAAATGAGCATTCCGTCCGCTGCAGCCTCGAGGAAAACGATAAATGGTATCTACGATTAACATTAAAATAATTCATGTTGACCCAAATGTGATGTACTCGGCGCCTCCGTGGGATTCGTACACACGCAGTAAGAGGAAGGATTTAGAACTCCTGGGGCGTACGTACGTCTCCACATAAGAAATGCATAAGCTAATCGCTAGTCGCATGACCGCAGGGGATGGAGGGGGGGTGAGATGGCGTCATCTTGGGGCCGTGAGTCATGATTTTGAGCATTTGAAGAACTGATGGACAAATCCTGTTATACGGATCATCTGCACTGCGACGATGCCGCTTTCACCTTCAACCATTAGAAGAATGCTTATCAGAATATCTGAGAGGAAATTCGGGATTGCATTACATTTCAGCAATGTTATTTTGAAACACACACAGCAATCTGAATAGTTAAGCCTTATTGACGTGCTTTTACATTCACCGCAGTAGACAGAGCTCTCAATTATTGGTATCGCCAAATGACAAAGGCATTCCGGCGGGCATGCAATACAAGTGATTACTGCAGACCACTTGTTAGTTCAACAGCCCATTGGAATCATCATCATCTTAAAACGGATGCAGATGTTCGTGTTATTACTGAGAGTTAGATATTTGTTGTTGACAGAGAGCAATCCGGGTTGTTATGATCCCCATACCTCAAACCGTCGTACCAATAACAGCCATCGACGCTTTAATGACGTCGAGAGAAAGTGCCATATATATGTCTGCAACTCTGCACCTTGATGAGTTATCGCCCAGCCCACAATGTTCCGCGTGATGTACGTTTTCGTCGTGATTCACGTTCTGCGCGGATGCCCAAAAACTATACGTACGTTTGGAAGACGTTTGTCATTGCCGTTGTAACACTTCTGTGATGATAACACCTCTTTTGCAATTTGTTAACAAATATTTTCCAGTGAAACGTTCCAAATAATCCTCCAATTGGAAAGAATACGTTTAGAGTCATTGGGCATGCAACTGATGGTCTTTAAAAAGTGATGCTGCTTGCGCTTAAATTTTGTGCAACAATTCATGCAACAACTCAATGTTAGTCTTTAAAAAACAGGTACTGTGCGTGGCTGAACGCCAACTTAGGGAGGTCTGATGACGTTTCATAATATATGAGAATTTGAGGATATGAGATGTCCATATCTACCCCCTGTTTCCTCCAATACTGCACATCCAAATGCCATATTAACATTCCTCTTTTTTGAGCACCCGTCACGATTTTTACCCAGGCTGATTTATTACTGAAGGTTTCATCTTCGTAAAATACAACAATTGTGCGTAATTACATAACAGGCCGCGCATTTTAATGATTTTGTCAAATACGTCCTGCTGAACAAAATTAGTTCATTAGAGTCTATGGATAATTTGCCCTACGTCCACCTGCACAGTAGAGATGACTGAAGGAAATTTGGTCGTCTGAGGTCCTGCGTCAGAGTCGGTAACAACGGATTCAATGACCTTAGCTTTCAGCTTGATGCACAGGCCGTTTAAGATTAGTCAGAACAGTCTGGTCAGCAGCGAAGGGAGGCAAACAGGAAAGCACATAATACCTGAATGACTAATTGGAAGGTCATCAAGCGGTTGTTTTGGGGTCAGTACTCTCCGATCGTTTAATGTTCCCTATTTTTAGAAGGCGATTTTGGATCTTATGTAATTTCCGAAAAATCGACAGATGGGCGGAAGGCAAGGGTCTAACAATAAGTTCTTCAATGTAACCGAACCACTGTGCATAAGAAAGACACTGGGTTCGCGTTCACCACATATTGCATCAGGCATTCAGTGGATTTTACAAAACGTGTCTTAACGAGCTTTGCGTCTTCAGAAGAGAAACGTCCGATTTACTTATAGCGGCAGTATTCATTCCTTCGATGTCTACACCACCCGACACTGTTGCGTTGAATAACTATGTTCAAGCTGAAGCTGTATTACGATCCTGATGGAATGCATAACAACTGTGAATTTATCAACTGCGCAAATACTATATGCTAGGATAATCATCTTTGACGTGTTATATAACCTTATGCAGTTATTCATTCTCGTCAATGAGAATAGCTATAATGGTATAGAGCAGTATATTTAAAACCTTTGATGTCAGCATAGGTGATCTCATGACAAATTAGCTAAAGTAATAAATACACAACTCAGAATCTCACTTAGTCATCTGCTAGAGAAATTATTCTACTTTGTAACATCAACAGCTTTTGTCTTCCGCAGTCCTTTCCAACTGGGGAGTGCCGCACGCAACTTAAACCCTGTTTATGCAAAATCCTGCTTGCCATCCTATGTAGGTAGCTGCATGATTACCTTTCACGCTATATACTGTTTACAGCCCACTCAGCAAATACGTGGGAAAACTTACCCCATTATTACTGCCAGAATACCCTAATGCAAACTTAATATTTACGAGGTCATAGCGTTTCTTTATTTCGAGGTTACATTTAAAACATAATAAACAGTGATATAACCACTTTAATTTCATACTTCTAGTTTGAAGGGATGTTCGTAGCATGTCCAGATAGAAGTGGTCAACGACTTCTTAACGATCAATGTAATTTCTTTTTCGATAGCACTAACTCATCATGAATCAAACGAGAGGAATGCTGGAACTCCGAATTCTTCATCCATTTGCGTATCCCAGAAACTATACCACTTTCCTGGTAAGCTATACAAGGACAACGACGTATTTCCCATCGGCAAAATCCCGTCTGATACGCGGTACACGCACACCATGTATACTGGCCTCCTTCCAGCAGGGATCCCAAACTTCCTTCAACCCAGTTATATCGAAAGAGTATTGGGCGTCAAACCAGGTAAATTACACCTTTCGGATATTGCTTAATGGTCAGATTTTCAATGTCAATCGTTGTTTGAGCTGTTGTTCGTTTCAATAGAATGGTTTTTTTTTATTAATTTAGCAACGAATAATGTGGACGAAACATGCTAGGCATATACTTAGCCACTAAAAGACATTGCATAGTTAATGTCTACCTGCATACTAATAAATTTTGCTCGGTGGCGGCAGCAATTATATATGTCTCATTTTGCAAGGTCGCACGACCTCCGTCAGTCTGGAACAACTTGGTACAATGTTACATCAATCTTGATTCTCTGCATATTGTTCCATCGAAGTTTCCATGTATCAAGCTGCAATACACTTCAGGCAACTGAGTTGATCGTTTCTTTTTATGATTAAGGCACATTAAGACTACTGCTATAGCTCTACGTTTAACAGTAAATCTTCGTCCTCGGAGATGACAAGCATCCTGGAGTAGACAAACCAAATTCCAGTAATTGGTGGGTTATTGCTCCGAGACTGCATTGAATGCGTCAATTAATACACTTACTCGTCCACCCTAAATATTAGGTGTAGTATATTTTCATTATGCGCTTGCCAGATAGCCGCTCACATTTATTATTTGACCGAGAATATACTTGATACGCTCGTAAGATTTTTGAATTCTTCTGCCTTTTTCTAGAAACGGCAAGGCTTATCTCCGAACTCATTCAAGGCCTTTTGACAGGAGCATTTAGTGGTGTTATTATCGGGGTACGTTAGCAATTCGACTACGTCTTCCCTAAAAAATACCTGCCCATAGAATAGTCATACTATGCCAAGGAAATCTGCTAACATACACAGGTCTGTTAGAACCCACTTTTATTTTCCTTTGACCCCGTGTTTATCCCTCATGACAACATAAGTTTTGAAATATTAAGTAATTAAAACGTCCGTCCCTGTCCCATCGCTGTCCCAGGAAAACAGCTCGTCCACGGAGCCGGCACGTTCATTCCTGCATTGCACAGCACAAATGGCCTGCAGGTCACACACTTAATTCTCATACAGTGTGAAGTAGGCTGGACGTAAGACTCAGCCAAGTGAGAAGCAAATCAACCAGTTCCACCATGACCTTGTGACCACTCCGCGTGCAGCTGACTATAACAAGCGTACTGACTGCCACTTAAGTGGATTGTCGACGGACCACGGCAGGTGCTATTAACATTATGCGCTAGGCTCAGTTGTCGTATTGGCAATGTAAACGCCCTTACACAGTTTCCTGCTTTCGGGCTTGTAGAATTAGCCACGTCAGAACTTAACCCTTGTTTGGAATTGCGATTCGTGTGATAGCCGGTATCTTGTAATATGCTAATATGTTGCGACATAGTTTTTCTGATAAACTACTTCTCCGCCATTGCTGGCAGTGCCGCAAACCGTGAGAAAAGCAGTCGTGTTGCATTATGTTTAGATTCAGCCGGAAACTTTGAAGTTTTACAGGCAACTACTGTTTTTTTCCAGATCCCGATGATAATGTTTATGGATTTCGTGCATGAAAAAAACTTGCAAATCGAACGGCAGCTGACAAGTGCTGAAAACGCGTGAGCGCTAAGCATGAACGTTTTTGCTAATAAGGAGTCACATTGATGCATTAAATATTCATAAATCCACTTAATCCCGTACAGATGCTTCTTGCACGAATGGCTTTTTTTAATAAAATTATTTTTATAATATTATTTTCATTGGGGCCAAGGCAAGTTAGAGACAAATTTCAGTTCCCGACCACAAAACGCAACATACTTTGGCCATCTCTCAGCGCTTCGAATCTAAATCACAGTTTGCAGCAGAAATTTCAAAACATATTTGGTTTTTAAGCGTACTTGATATTTACCAGCTCATAACAGCATACGTCCGTCTGCATATATCAGTTGACTAGTGTCTGATTTCCACTAAACATTGTGGTACTCGACAACTATTTCGTCACGCATTTGTAGTTTGTTTCTTAGCATGCCAATCTGACTGCCAGAGCTTACAGCGATTGGATAGCAGAGTGATGAAAAGAGCGCGCTAAATCATCTACAGCAACACTGCATTCATGGTTTGCTGAAGCGAATTGGCCGTGGCCAGCACTCAGCGAATGCCTGTGCGACAGCATGGCTGTGTGCGAAATTAAATGTACAGACTCAATTTTATGGATTTTCTCTTACTTGACATGCTGCACGCCACTTATTACATCCAAACCCCTCTCCCCAGCTCTTGATCATGATCTGGCGGACACATCTAGCTAAAGAGGCCTTCTGCGGCTTCACACTCATATGTACCTGCATCTCGCACAGAGGTGGGATAACAAAGCGGCTGTGAAATTTGTCTCTTTTCAGCATCAAAAATCTTACGACTGGACCGTGGCAGACTGAGCGAATTAGGCCACAGAACGCCAAGGGTGTAGGACGTGCGTTTTCGATCAATGCGTCGGCACTCCAGCTGCAGTTACTGGAAGCCTAAGGCTTCGTCAAAAACGTTTTTCTGTTCAAAACTGGCACTTCGGGATGAGAATCAAAACAGTGTCTTTTGTGTCTGAATTGTAGCAGCAGCAAATGTTTTAGATTACATTTGCCCCTTCTTCTGAAAAATAAATGACTTCTATTAAAAAAACTGCCCGTCATATTTTATACTGCACATTATTTGGGGGAATGACAGTAGTGTGCTTCCCACATTTTCACACAACTGCGTCTTTCCCGAGGTTCCATGGGTACAATCTGCTCTTGTCTCGCCCAGAAAGCACAAGTTTCCACTTTGGAGAAGTAGGACAGTCAGAAGTCCAAATTCTCTATAGATGGTCTGATGAAATGTCGGGAGACATGAAGCGACGATTTCATTTAGACCATAAATGCATATGCCATCACAAGCATACACGAAGCGTTTTAAGGATTTACTCGCACAGCCGGCGACATTCATTGAAGTAACTCTCATGCTCCCAGAAGTCGACTTACGTATGCATAGGCTATGAGCAGTGAACAAAATCACTTGCATTCATTTGATAACAATGCCAAATTAGCAAACATGGAGGCTCTCACATTATGGCAAACAACCAAATGTATATACGTCTATAACATTGTAGAAAGATCATGGTGGAGGGCGCTCACCGATCGTTCTAACGAAACTCACTCGTTCCATTGTGGCTTAGGGGGCTCTTTCTCGTGCGCAACCTGCGGACGCACAGCGGCGCATGATATAGGATAAAGAGATGTTACTGACAAAGACAAGGGAGACTGCTATGGCCATTTCTGACTTATAAGCCGTATTTAGCCGGTCATATGCAACCCCAAAGAGTGAAACACCAGAGGCTCGAACTCGCGACCTGTTAGTTAGAAGTCGAATCCACTAACCAACTGCGCTACGAGCACGTTGCCCTCTCGGTTTCGATCGGCAATATGCAGCGGTAGGGGACGCTCACCGTTCGTTCTTGTGGAACTCACTCGATCCGATAAGACCAACGGACCTCCCTCGAGCCCAACTAGAAATACTGCAAAGCGTCTGATCCAAATTCTGTAGAACCAGTTGCACCTGGCTTCACATCTCAGAACATTTAGGCCAGATTTGAATATAACGCGTTAGTGGTATAGAAGAAGCCGAAATAGTCATTGTGGTATCTCATGCAATTGCCGAATTTTCTTCTGAAACAAAAAAACTTTTCTTAATCGGTCATGTGACGTGGCGGGTCGGAAAGCGATGTACTTCAACTGTTTGCTGACGCTAGAAATCTTCAATGGCCTTTCACATTAAACTTTATGGATATGCGAAAAAGAGACACTGCTAGCTCGCATACATGGAAGAGGCGAAGGTGACTTGAAGACCACAAATATATCCGGTATATCACCTCCTAAATTAAGGACTTGTGCTTCTTTATCAAAAAAAATAAAACACGATATATGCGCTGACACATGAAATGTTACCAGAAATACTGAAATGCATTTTGGACTCAAACATGTTGCTTAAATAGGGGTCTTAATTTTAATTAACGCGCAGCATAATAGGTAGTTATTTTAGTAATTTGGGGTTCTGCAGGTGTACATTATGATAAAAACGAGTTCTTATTTATTGTGAATTTTTCTAATATTCCTTTGCAATTCCTTTATAGATTCAAATATTTTTCGATAAAACCATGCGGACAGTGTTCATTATTTTATGAACGTGGAAGAAAATTACGTCTTTGTTAAATGTTGGACTTAAATAAAATGTGTAATCCGGTTTCTAAAACTTTTTTAATTTCCAAATAATTTTATAAATGATCTGCCTTTACACATTCAGCCAGACTTTCCATCATAAAAGCCGTGTATTTGCCATTTTCAAAATATCATATCTTAAGAGGCGCCATATATGGTTCGTAAAATTAAGAAGTTGATTTGAGCTAAATTGTAACTGTAACAAGCCACGATAGACAACGCAGAGACAAAACGACTTATGAACAAGCATTTCGTGATCTTAAAATATCATAATTGCTTCTGCAAAACGCAAGGCCTTGAGTATTAAACACCCATTTGTATGAGATAATTTTGCTCGTATTTTCGGGTCCCAGTCGTCTATTGACACAAGCAGACAGGGTCAGCAACTATGTTAACCACTGTGCCCGTTCACCCTACTGCCCAACTACAGCAGTGGCAGGGGCCTGCGAATGAGAATAAAAAGTGAGTTCATCGTCTTAGCACATTGTCTAACTATACGCAAACTGACGAGCTTGAGACTAGGACGGTACGCTTAAAGCCGTGACTTGCAAGATTGCCAACTGACTGGATAATTCGGACCCCAGAGGCAGGCAAGGGTACGTTTGTGTCAGGCTGCCACAACTCCTTCTTAATGAGGCCTCCATGGCGCAAACTCCCCAATGAATTCGAACCCATCCTTTCCTCCAGGTTCTTATAGGAAATCCTGGTCAGCGTCCGTTGTGCACCATCAAATGTGGTGGTGCGTCAAGGTTCGGGTTTACGCCGCGCGAGCCACCTGCATCCAGTCACGCCTTCGACCTTCTTGACTCTGCCTTGACAGTATGCCCAGCTAGGTGGGAGGAGGAGAGACTGCGGTAGACTCATCGGAAGTGCGCTATCTCTTTAAAAAAATGCAAGTTTACGCCTAGCGAACAGATCTCTTCCGTACAAATAGTGGAACCTCGCTCCAGATTGGCCGACGGTAGTACAACAGCCCGAGACTGTGGAACCAAACATTACTGCTCCACCATTGGCTCAGATGGCGAGCGAGCGTCAAAGGTAATTAGGTTTTATAACTCCAATCCCTCGGCACAACTATGTTAAATGCCTTTGGTTTTGTGTTTCAAACAGATTTCGGGGTTTCCAGACTAAACGGCCAATCGATTCTTTGTTTTCATCAAAAACCAATAGGCAGTGTCAAACAACGTCAGAAAATCGGCAAAAGACGTGTCTAGACTTCTAGTTAATAACTCTGTCAGGATAACGGTGCAATACGTTTGTCGTCTAGCGGTACAGCAGTGAGAAGGTGTGTTTTCTGTGAGCTACAATTATCAAGTCCAAACCCATTTTGGAAGGAGAAGACGAAGGGTACTAGAAGGAGGGTTTTATTGTGCACAGAACCCGGACTTGCTACCTCAGGCTGCAGTGGTCACTGGCGAAGCCAGGGCTGGTGTTGACTGCGTCCGGTTATGTCTGAGAGTCCTTGAGATAGTGGTGGCAGCCGCCTCTGAAGGCTCGTGGGCCATGCTCAAGTGGTGGCGGGTCAGTGTGTGCTGCAGTTGCCGGCGGATTGCCCTCTAAACAGGCCACGTCTTAGATGCGCAGGACCAACACGGGGGCCACATCGGATTCTGGCAGGCGTTATCTGTGCGCAATAACAAATGCCAACAGTTGCGGGGTGCGCTGGCGGACCCTGTTGTCGGCATTCGTCGCTCAACTGGACCACTTCCGCCACCCCATTGTTTTGTGGTTGAAATCCTGGTCATTTGTGTGTGGATCAGGGGGTGCGGAGTGGAGCGCCAACGTGAGGATCCGTCCGAGCCATCCCCCTGCGGCCTCTCCCGTCTCCGGTCTTCTTGACTCTGTCTTGACACCGGGCTAAGGCGGGGAGGAGGAGAGAGTGTAGGTAGATGCTACGCAAGTCTACTGGCACTATAAACCCCTGCGTAAGTCACCGTCCCTGCTCCCACAATGCAGTCTGTGAGGCACACGGTGGACATCGTCGAAATCGACGGTCCAACTGTCGTGCCGACGGGTGGTGTCCCAGTGGCTTAGGTTGCGGTTGCAGGGAGTGGCGCGTTCAGGTGGCGCATGGGCGGCCGCGAAGCTGTGTGGACGCAATTGTGTTCGAGCTGAAGTCTGTTGAGCGGCTTTAGGTGAGCGCGTCCGCAACGGCTTGCTGCAAGGGGTGAATGACCTTGAGACAGCGATGTCTGGAACAATGACGCCAGACCGGTCATAATGGCTGGCCGCCACAGCTCCCCGCCAGATACAGAACAAAGTGATGGTGTCGATTGTGAAGCAGACGATGATATGTGTGAAAACTATCAAATGCGCATGCGGGTTTACGAGCGTGTGTCGATGATGATGATAGGAGTAACCCGTAGTGCGTATGATAGGGAT